GGGGACTGGAAGGGAAAACTTCAGCATCCCTTTCTCACATGCTCTTTTTATTCTAAAAGAAAGACTTGTCCAGCCTCCCACTTTATAGGTGAAAGACAAGGACACATGAAATATACCCCTGTCAAGTTTGGATCTGAAAGAAATTAGTTTTAAAGTGGTTTGCAAATCCTGGCTAAGATCCAAACTAGACTTTAAAGTAAATAGCAGATGTGGAGGGTCAAATCCAGATTTAATGTATGTATGTATTTATGTGATTTATAAATTGCATCGCATGAAACACTCCAATGCAATTAACAAAAAAAAAACCCATCAATATAAAGCAATTTAAAATCTAATATAGATATAGACAGAGATAAGAATACCCAGGTTAAAGGCTTGCTGGAAAAGGAAGTTCTTCAATAGGTGACCAAAAGACAATGGATTCTTTTGGAAGGAAAGGCAGAATATAAATTTAATGAATTAAAAAATAAATAAGATATAACAGGAAGGAGTTTCAGAGGGTAGGTGCAACAACAGAAAAAGTCCAACTCCTACATCCTATGGAACTGATCCAAATGAGATGGTATCTGCAGAAGACCCTCTTCCTTCAGTGATTGGTTGGCTATATAATGGTTGATACAATCTTTTCGGTATCCTGACCCCAAGCTGTATAGGCTCCTGATAGGGAAGTAGGAAGCCTTTAACCCCTTTGCCCCTTGCTGTGTTCCCAATCAGGATCAGACCCCATTGCACCTGCTATTTGTGCTTGCGGAGACCCAGATTGAAGGGGGAAAGGGGTTAAAACACTCTTCCATGCCCACCAGCATCTCAGTCTGGACAGTTCTTTATGGATTTCACGAATACTGTCTTCCCTAGTTTGGCCCTAATAGGTAATCTAGGCTCGATTAGCACTGCTGCATAAGCAACACTATGCCATGATAACTTAAGAGAAGGGATACGGTAATTACTACCAGAGAGGAGGGGAGAGGAGGCAGTTGTGCATGAGTGCAGAGCCCAGTCCCCGTTTCTTACATATCATCTCCCTCTGTGCTTATGTTATATGCCAAAGGGCAGCCAAACAAGTCTAAGCAGTCCACGTTTGGATCACTGGCCCACTAGGATCAGGAGTTGAAATTGTTTGCATTGAAACACCATTTCCAACTACGAATAAGTGTACCTAGGATGGCAAACAAGAGTATTTTTTTAAAAAATGAAAGCGTTGTTGTTGTTTTTTAAAAAATGAGAGCACAAAAGGCTGGGTGAGAAAGCACAGTAGCAAAAATGGGTGATGGCCAACAGCTTACAAATCGGAAAAACTCATTTGTACATCACCTTATGATAGTATACAAAAAAAATGTTCTGAAATTTTCATTTTTTTAAACTATACGGATATCTTTGAGGCTGATTTGGAGCTGATGAGCCTAAAGTCAGTCAGTCATCTTTGTATTTTTCACCATTTAATTAGTTTGCATTACTTTTTTCAGCATAAAGCAACAGGCTTTAGAATGCTGTGGCCCTGGCAAAAAAAACCACCACTTTTTCTTGTTCTTCTGCAACCTTTGTTGCAGTCTCCAACAGTTTCCCCAAAACTGTGGTGGTGAAAAGATTAAACCTTCTGCACCATCTTGGTAAACAGTGTAAGCCTGATGATAGAGTGTTCCATCTGTAACCTCAGTATCAGGTCAGTTTCCTAACAGACTTGCCCCATGGGTTTAGCTAGGGCCAATGTGAAAGGCTTTTGTGGGGTGAGGGGAGAGAGATACACATTCTAGAGTCTGAAGCTTTACATTACACAGTGTGCCGAAGATAATGAGAAAGAAGCAGACTAGCAGCCAGCTCTGCAACTGCATCACTCCAGTTGTCTTGACTCCCTGTGCTATCTATAGGGTACGGTTAGCTCTGGCTTACAATGCTTAATGAGAATTCAGTGGGACAACTTCAGAATGAATTGCACTCCTTGCTTCCTGTTACGTTTGACACATAGCACCATAAAAAAAGACCTAACGGCAAGAAAAATTAGATTAATAGTGAAATGCAAATGTTTGCAATCTTAAATCCTCTGTTTGCAGGAAGATTCCTAGATTTCAGTTTGCATTTCCTTTATTTGACTCTGTGCTAGGTAGAGCTGGGCTTGTCACATTTATAACTTTATATTTTGAATTTGATTGGCATGTGAGATCCAGATTTAATTTTACAGTGATCCCACTGCCTGCCATTCTGCTCCTTCCTGCCCCTCCCAAGGCTGCCATACCTCCTTCCTTGCCTGCCTGCCTGCCTGCCTGCCCGCCCGCCCACCCACCCACTTTCAGTGGCTGTGGGGCAGGTGCTTCCAGCTTCACTCTGTGAAAGGAGGTCTTCTTGGGAGTGACACACCATTTTGTGGGTGAGTTTGCCCAGAGAGCACCTGGGCTGCTGTGCAGTGCTTATAAACTACAGTGGTACCTCTAGATACGAACGGGATCCGTTCCGGAGCCCCGTTCGCATCTAGAGGTAAACATAACCAGCGACGGCACGTCTGCGCATGCACGCGTCGCTTTTCACTGCTTCTGCACATGCACATGACGTCATTTTGAGCGTCTGCGCATGCGCAAGCAGTGAAACCCAGAAGTAACGCGTTCCGTTACTTCTGGGCTGCCGCAGAGCGTAACTCGAACACGCTCAACTCAAAGTGTATTCAACCCGAGGTATGACTGTATAGCTTTAAAGTACTGTTCAAAATGCCCCTTGGGGAAGCTTTCATAGGAGTGAGAAGTCATCAGAGATTCACATCATTGAAAGAAAACACAGACACCATCTCTTGCAGTGTTGCCGCTTAATGTTTGTGGCACAATCCCTGGATGGTAGGCTTTCACAGTGCTTCCAGGGAAGCTTGGATGTCTTGTCGTTTTTATGCCATTTTTGTATTTTCTTTGGGTTGTACATTTTCTTTGTTCCTTGAATTGGATATGGCGGCCGTTCCACCAGTGCAGCAGGACTGGATCTGCTGGCCAGGTATAATGTGACTACAGGGTTGCTCTGTTAAGCCCACATATAGATCTCTCATCAACAAAAACAAAAGTGGAGCTCGATTAAGGCTCCTATTGGCATGGGTTGGAAGGAGGAACAGCATTTATAGATTCAAACCCCACTTTCCTTGCAAATATGAATTAATAAAATGTCAACAACTCATTGACTGATTCTAGCAGCTTTGATGGAAAGACTTGAAAAGAAATGCTAAAATACTGTAGTCTAATTTTGAATTATTTTTATTTCCGCCTACCCCCTAAAAAAATACATGAAAAGCCCAGAAGATTATTTAGGATTAATAGATTATCAAAAGTGCCAGTTGGCACTGACTTGTCCGGATTAAATAAAAATAAAAATCTCTATAATAAATGCAGCTGTTTACTAATAAATAAAGCCTCAGCTGTAACCAAAATAAATTAGATGTATTTAATTGGTTGATTGCAAACCTCCCCTCTTTATTACAATACTGCTCCTTGTTATTTTATGATGTCAGGGTAACGTGGCAGATTGACAGAGTGTTTATGAATCACAGTTTACAGATGGCATCCCTGTTTTCCTCAGCAGTTATGAGCACAAGTCACAGGAGGACTCAATAGAGGTTTTTCGCCAAAGAAGACCCCCTGAGATTTTGCTGCTTCCATTTCTCTTATGCCAATCTTCTTCCTGACAGGAGCACTACTTCACAAAAACCTATGTTCAATAAATTAAAGCCACCTGGCACAAATTTAGAAATATTTAACACTCAGAGGACTCCTGTGTGTCTCCACGTGATTTCTATTCACTTCCAAAAGCCTCGGCAACAATAGTTGGAACAGGCCTCATGCGATTCTGTGGGCTTTCACCCTGCCACCTCAAGACAGAATAGTGAGAGGAGTCAGCTTGGCTTGTAACATATCCCTCCTCCCATCTGCAAAAGATTCCAAGATCTCCTAAGGACACCTCCTCAGAACGTTGAGCCTTGAACTGCCTAGACTCCTGATAGCTTTGAAATTCAGCTGGGATATAATCCTGGCTCTCTGCACATTCAGAGGTTTCAGAACTGAACTCTTCCTTTTGGTCACTAGTCACGAACAGACACCGGGGAATGCAGTCATAATAGTTGACAGATCTGTAAACTTGTGCCATTAGTTATGCGCATAATGGATTGGATTCTAATTAGCTGGTTCATCAGAATCCTGGAAAGAGATGGCATCCTTTAGAGATTGCTGGCGTACAAACTTCACCCATGCATTTAAAAGCACATCAGTGTCACATAAGGAGACACAGGGCCTTCTACCGCTCCCCTCTGTAGTTATGCAACACAGCTTGGTCCCCCAAAAGAACGAATAATACACTGAAAGTAAAAACCCCAAACTCTCCAACCCTCGTTTCCTACCTTTAGCCACACTTTTAATGAAAATATAGAAGCTTTCTGGTGGAGATCTGTTCTTCCCATCTGTCACAAAAAATCGGAAGCTGTCATGACTTTCTGGACTCAGTACGCTCGTATGGAAATACCAGAGGCGGTTCATGTCCACATCGTCTTGAGTGAAATTCATTCCAGGATGCAGAGTGCTCCAAGCTGATGTGGTCTGAAAAACATCATGGAATGGGTGGGTGAAACAAATGCATGCACACACACATAAGCTGCACATGCTATAGAGATATACATATTGAACAGCTGTGAAGATGGCTAACTTTTAAGAGCTACTGAACAGCTGGGGCTGACCAAGGTTTAATGCCCCTACATACACTTGGAACCCAGAATGGTAAAAGACAGAAAAAGCAGCAGCAGGTGGTACCGTCTAAGGTCTCACTCACCGACAGCAAGGCCTGAAGCCAATGGGATGGAGCTGCCAGTCCATCATTAGCTACCACAATACGGGCCTAGACAGAAGTCTGAAGGCTGTGGCAGGAGTCAGTGTGAGGAATACAGTGTAGAAGCTGCTTTACATAGAACTGGACCATTGGTCAATCTAGCTCTGGCTGGCAGGAGCTCTCCTGGACTTCAGACAGGGGACATTCCCAGTCCTATGTGAATATACCGGAGATTGAACCCAGAACCTTCTGTGTACAAAGCCAATGCTCTACCCCTGAGCTATGGCCTTTCACTGGTGGAAAAGGGTGTTGAGCTACTTTTTGACCCTTCTAAAGGAAGCCACCCTTTAGCGTGGTATTTAGTTACTTGTGACTGACCTTGTTGCATATACTTAAACCATCTACAGGTGTTGCAAGTCGTTTCAGATTGACTTTATTTGAGAGAAATAACAATGTTTCTCCACGACATTTGTATCCAGTACTTAACATTTCATGGTTTGTTTCCAGTTTTTATCCTCATGAAATCATGGTAACCTAAGAAGCTTCATGGTCGAGTAGGGATTTGAACCCAGGACTTCCCTCTCCAAGCCCATCACAGTGTATTGGCTCATTGAGTCTTCTGAAGACTTGCCACACTACTATAAAACGGACACTTCATTATACCCCTTTTGCTCAAAATTATTCGGGTAATTAGCCATTAGTTATTTATTGACCATTAACATTTGTGAAAATACACACAGACCTGCCTAACCCATTAGCATGTGCGCCAAAAAACAGTGTTTTTCTGTGTGCCTTTTAGAGAAGCATCATCAACCTGTCTCTTCTTGGATCCTGCTTTCCAACCTGTCACACAGGGGGGGGGAGCCCTGGTGCATGCCAAGAGATGCAGATGGATCCATTGTAGCACACCCTGATGTTCATAGCTGATGCCCAGGTGTTTCAACTTGTGCTTGCTTACCTAGCTAGAAGCTGGTTTTATTCCAAGAGAAGGTTCAAGACAATTAGATGCCATCATAATATAAGCCAGAAGGTTTTTATTAATGCAGCACTTAGAAAGCAGATAAAAGACTCTCTCCAACAACAGGCATTGATGTAGGGGTTCTACATGCAATTTGCATACACATCGCATGTTGTCCAGCCAGGGTTTGATGCTGTCTCACATTGCAGTCAACTCATGAGGCATGAGCCAGGTACCATAAGGCTAAAGAGCTTTATGCCTCAATCATTTCTGAGCAGAGTAGGTGTGATGTAAAAACCTGCTCACTTTGCATCAAGGCCACCTAATCTGCTGCCCATTCAATGACTACAAAACAAAGGCCCAATTCACACATTTAGTAGTAGTGTGGTTGCCACTTGAAAATAGAACACTCAGGACTTCTACTTCCCTGTTCGTTTAGGTTCATTTTTATATAGAGTTTGTTACTTAAAAATACATTTATGTAAAAAAAGAAAATACATCTTCAGGCAAGGTTGCTTTCCAAGTGGTCAAGTATATCACAAACATTTCATTTCAATGTAGCATCTATGATCTGACTAATCATATGAATCAGGACTAGAGTTGTGCATTATTGCAATTACTGTATTCCAAAACTGAAAGGAACAAAGCATGGAAATAATACATGCAACAAAGCAACCCAGCATGGTTGTCCCGCAGTAAGTCTATCCCTTGAAGCTATGTGACTAGCTCAGTTTTTGTTTTTGTTTTAATGGCTGTTAGTTTCTCTATCCAAAAGCAAGCAATTTTTGAAAGACTTTCAGAATGGATAAACATTCATTTCCCTCACTCTAATGTTGTGGCCCTATATTCATATAGTGTCTCCATCTCTTCCAAGTGGGATTCATTATAGACCCAGAAAGATGAATCAGTCTTGTAATATCAGACAGATTTAAGGTTTATGACTAAATATAATCCCTGTGGAGAACTGAAGGGCTTTTTCATACAAAAACAAAGAGATCTTCTTCAGTCTGTGCTAGGGCCACCCCAGCACATTTTGGCTCCTGAGGTGAACCACAAAATGGTGTCTCCCCACCATGAAAGGAGTATTGTCCAGACATTCCTGCCCGAGGTCTGCAGGTCATCACACCAGATGCCAGGGATCCTCGCTGGCTCTCAAACTGCCCCACCCTCATCTTCCCCCAAAGGCCACAGGAGAGGAGCTGGTGAGCCAGACACAAGCTCAAGAGCTACCTTCTAGCTAGCTGTATGTGAGGTTAAGCTGGGAAGGGAAGAAACTAAGAAGAACCTGCCAGGATCAGGACCTGGTTGAGAGCAGAGGGTGGAACCTCCAGCTCTTATATAAGCTGCCAGTCCAGCAATGATTGGTGGGGACTGTCATTTGTGCTCGTTTACAGTCTCAAAGCTGAGCATCTCTGCCAATGGAGGGATGAGGTGTGGGGAGAGCTGCAGAAGAGCCCAATTACTTAAGCAGGGGGAGGAACCTCGGGAACCTTAGACTCCTCCAGGCTACTTGACAGAGGGGCAACACACAGCTTTCTATTACTGCAGAACTGTGCTGCTGTGAACAGACACATGCAGCCATTCACCAAGTGCTCTTGTGATGCAGTCCCAGCTCATGGAAATGTTTACTTGGATTACCCTTTCACTGACTGCATGATTTAAACAAGTTTATGTACGTGAACTGAAATGATGGAGAAGCTGTGAACTCATTTCCCTCCACTTCACAGACCATATTTAATTCTGACACCTATCCAAGGTATTCAGAAGTGTAAACACACCTCACTGTGATGACCCTTTCCTTCCTCTTGCTAAATTAGTGACATTTCAGCACTAAACCCAACAGGATTTCTTCCGATCGGACACATTAAAAGTTTATATGTTTAAAAGAAGCAAAAAACAAGTACTGCAAAACACGTTCATCATTGCTAAATAATTTACAAGGATATTCTAGCTTCCTTTATTTGGGATCAACAAAAATATAACAAGCAGCATGCAGTACTTTAGCTCAGTCAAGCATAAGCCTTCTTTGGCACTATTACTCTTTTCCATTTTCAGGTCCTTTTGGTGGCATTTCTCACCTTTTGAGGTTTCTTTATTTGCAGCAGTTGCCTGGGTGGCATTTTCCAGAGCCCTGAACACTACTGAGTCCCTGGCACATCCAACAAATAATACATCAGGTTAGGCCCTCGCCACTGAGGATGTAGTGTTCTTTGATAGGGGCACCAGGAGGTCTAAAACTGACTGTGCAATGTGCTCTAAAAATCTGAGACGTTTATTTTGTCATGCTAATGGTGCTCCTTTTACAGAATTCCAATTTGGGGTTATTGTTCACAGTGCCTTGGACTCTGAGCACGATCATTCTGGGAATGGCATAGTTTCATTCTACATTGGAACAGCAACAGCTGCAGCCCCGGTGGGCATTGATAATGTCTCACTTCTTTGAGGTTAGCTGTTGCTAAGTTTGGTGTTTAATTATTTTCTTCTTCTTCGGCAGGTCTGAAACCCAGCTTCAGATGGGCTTCTGTCTGCTGGGTGGAGAAAGGGGGAATGGTATGGGGGCAAATTGCTGTGCACCCTATGTCACCTTGTGTCCACTAACCCCCATTCCCTGCATCCTATTTATTCATCATCTTTGATTCATGCCCATTGGGCAGGACCTGGAGAAGATGGTGGACTGGATGTCTTGATGTGATAGGAGATGCTGGATTGACAGAACCAGATGGTGCATTGGCCATTAGATCAAGAGATGGCTTCTGGTGTGACCAGTGTCCTGCTGGTCTATTGAGAGGTCAGACATTTTGTTGTAGGATCAGCAGCAAGATTTATTTGACCTTGTGATTGGGAGATGATAGGAGGCCACCTAGCCAAGCTCAAGGTGGCTCATTGTACTGGGCACTTAATGGTCAGGAGTCCCTTTACCTTTTTTAATGCTCCCTGAGTCACCCTTGAGTGAATGGTATCTGACTAACTACCTAACATTGCTGTCCAGATTGAGGAGCTGCCTAGTCAGATGTTCTTGGGACCTGAAGGAACCACCCTTCTAAACACTGGACAGTGGGCGAAGGAACGTCTCCACCCCCATCGTTCTGCCTGGGCACTGAGGTCCAGCTCTGAGGGCCTTCTGGCGGTTCCCTCACTGCAATATGTGAGGTTGCAGGGAACCAGGCAAAGGGTGGTGGCACCTGCCCTCTGGAAATGCCCTCCCATCAGATGTCAAGGAAATAAACAACTATCTGACTTTTGGAAGACATCTGAAGGCAGCCCTATTTAGGGAAGTTTTTGATGTTTGATGTTTTATTCTGTTTTAATCTGTTGGGAGCCACCCAGAGTGGCTGGGAAAACCCAACCAGATGGGTACATAAAATAAAATACCAACCCAACCAGATGGGTACATAAATAAAATTTAAAAAAATTAAAAAAAAAATTAAAAAATTAACAGGGGCCCCTCTACAAGTGTAGAGTTCAAGCTGAGTGCTGTTGTCCAAGACCAGAAATAAGTGCATTGGCATGAACTTTATGCTCTGAGCATATTCCAAGCCACAGTTAATGGCTATGCCTTGCTACAAATCTTTTAGCATCTTTTAACAAAGTTCTTACCTTTACACTAAATGCATGTGACATAACCTGAGCGGGAATAGACAAAAATGCAAATTTACATTTCTTTCATTTTTCTAGTTTTAAGTCTAGTTCTCCACATTCCTGCATCAGTTTGCATTTTTTAAAAAAGAAAGTTTTCATTTAAAAAATGTTATTTTCACTAATACATGCGTTTTAAGCACATTTTTTCTCAATATGTGCAATTTTTGTACACAATAGTTGCCTGGAGAATTGCATCACTAAATTTGAAGAAATGTATATTTCAAAAGTTAGCTACATTTCGGTTTATGTATTGCTTTGAGTCCCGGAAGACGTACTCCCTGCCTTGCAGGCCTTTTCCCAACTGACCTGGGAGAGTGGGGCTCTGATTGACTCCAGCTACAAAAGCTGAGGCTGCTGAACAGAATCTTAAGTTGGGGTATTGTTTGGGGGTTTTGTTGGTAGTGGGTTTTTGCTATTAAGATGTTAACTTCTTGTATCTTTGTTTTGTATCTTATGATTTATGTGGAAATAGTTCAATTCAACCATGCACTTTTTTGTTTTATTTGTGGTTTATACTACTTTCTATGTTTGTAATAATGTAATTCTTTATGTTGTAAGCTACCTTGAGCATGGTTTTGGCTGTGGAAAGGCAGCTTACAAATAAAATGATGTATGTGTGATTCAGGGACTGCAAATTACGCAGGTTTGCATTACGAAAGGAGCCAAATTGAATTTATCTCCCATTCCTGG